ATAACAGTCTCACCATTAATTTCTGCTTTAGGTTTCCAAAAATTTTTTGATGGTTTAGATTTTAGAAACTACTAACAAATTTTTATTAGATGATATTAATACATATTTCCTCCTGAATTTTGAAAGTTTTTATTCTGCCTAATAACAACATACATGAGCTATTTTTCTGCAAAAATTGTTTATTATTTGCTCAATAAAATACAATAAATTAAATTGATTGGATTGGTTTTAAATTTGGCAAAATCATAATAAGTTTTCGGAAAAAAATGAAAATTTAAAAAAAGAATTCTCCTATAATGCCATTTTAAGATATGATATATGTTTTGCTTGTGCAATTTAAGTGTGGTATTACCCAAAAGATAATAATAATATCTACATACTAATCAATTATTACTTTTCATGTCTATTTTATATAGGATATATTTTAGTTATCCTATTTTTAATGAATATTTCTTCTATTTTTCAAAATAGACTTCATTTAGAAATTGCTCCAAGTATCAAGAAATATTTGAAGGAATTAATAATAGCAATAAAACTTGGACGATCTAATATAATTCTGTTTAGATGATTAAGAAACTTATTTTTATTTCTTTTATCGTATTGTTATAAGACAATGGATTAATTCAAACTTTAATAATTTCATTTTTTTAGTTATTATTTTTCATAAACATATTTGTCAATAGACCATTAAATAATTATAATGAGTATGTTAAAATAAGATTTACAGAATCATTAATAATTTTTAATCTCATTTTATTTTATATTATATTATTACAGAATTGAATTGGAATTAACACCAGAAAATTTAATAAATTTAGGATGGTTACATATTGCTACCTTTTCTTTGATCTTTATAGCCACTTTTCTAATTGATATCACATAGTAAATTAAAAAATTAATGAAATTATTTCAAAATGCTTGGAACAAAAAAGAATCACTAGAGCCAATATTTTACTGAAAAATCATTTGAATATGTATAATTTTAAAACATTATAATATTTTAACATTTTTAACTTTTTAAAATTAGATGAACTATATTTTTTAAAGAACGAATAATAATTCTTCCTTTATTGCATAACCACTTTTTGAGAAGATTTAAATTCAAATTTAATCTTTATCTAATTAAACATGATCATCAATATCAAATTATATATCAAATATAATTTTAATCAAATAAAAAACTGAAAATTCTTATTAGCTTTGTAAGTTTGATAATCTCTTTTTAAAAAATACATAATCCTTCAATTGATAACAATAAAAATCATATATAGCTATATCTAAACATTATAATTCTTTATTGTTGATACTCCTTCAAAGGCATATGAGATGTCTCAATTTAATTATTTATCAATTTTCTTTCTCCATTTCAATTTATATATATGAAATTTATTTATTAATGTTTCAAATTATTTTATCAAGACTCTTATTGAATTTTATTTTAAATTATTTAAGATCTTGTCTAGATTATTCTAATGGAGAGCTGATCTCTCATTCTAAAAAACCCTTTTTTTCATGATGTTTGGCTGAATTTTGTATTAAATTTCATTTCCTTCCACATTTTAAGCATCAGTTTCATCAATTTGTGCTCTCTTTGTCTCATCGACTAACTAAGTTGTTTCATTATGTTCTGAACTCAGAAGTTCTTTTTCTGTTCTTGATTAAATTCAATCATATTAATTATATTTAATTTCAATCAAGTAGTTTATTAAATTAATTCATTAAAACACTAAAGAATTAAAATCCACTATTTTAATAATTAAAAAATATGAAATGCTAGATAACATTCCAAACTAGATCATTTTTTCCAAATTGACTTAATAAAAATAGAAAGATTGATATGAAAAATGTTCAATTATTATAATTATTATTTGCAAAAAATACAAATAGCCTGATGAATATTATCTTAATTTAATTAAAGTCATAATACTCATAAAAAAATAATTATAACTATTTTTTAAGTAAATAACTTTAAAAATATCATAAATTAAATCGCGTTGAAAATTTTCATATTTAAGGATTCTAATTATATTTGTTATCATTAGCTTTTTAAAAGTTGTAAAACAAGGATTTTTAGTTATTTTCAATATTATTCATTAATGACTTAGAGTTTATAATTAGCTTGAATTTAAGGCTACTTCACTTTGGAGACATTTAATCTATGGTGAAATAATTAAATTTTATTTATGTTCCAATCCCTTTAAAATTAATTTGATGAATAATTGGAACTTTTCATTAAGCCTATTAATTCATATTTATATTACTTCTTAAATTGTAAAATTCTTTTGGCTTTAGGTAAAAGATAATCCCTTAATTAATTGTATTTTTTCTGATTCTTAATTATTTTTATTTCCTCCCTTCTAAACAATTATAAATTTTAGGATAATGTGAAATTAAATGAGAGAACTCTGTTAAAAGTGTTCCTGAAAATTTTTTAAATATTTTGTCTAGGTTTAAAAAAATTTGTATTAACATTTTTATAAGATAAAAAGAATTTACGAAGCCTACGGGAAAATAAGAGGGCAAAATAATTTCATTTTAATTTTGTTTCTACAACCGGCCATAATAATTGATAAGGCACAAAT